AATAATAAGAGATTGTACATGAGTTTTTCAAGTTTGGCCAAATGACAATTATTATTTTTTACATAAAAATAATTTTAATTTACTGACTGACATTAAAAATGGTGGATGAAATGCATTCTTTTTCAGAATTAAAAAAAAACACGTACAATGAGAATTCAAATAAGGTGCAGGAAACTGGTGCAGCTTTGAATGCACACATGTATAAAGATTATCACAGCACTGTGGTCCATCCTGTCCGAGAGGACAAACAGGCTCACGTCACGAGACATTCCAAAGTTTTTATTGCACTTGGTCACACCCGGATATGATGTCATACCTCTAAAAACAGTTCTGAAATAGCAAAGCACATGTTAAATGGACATTTTGATTCTCTTACTGGYTAAAATAAAAGATTACAACTGATCACAATGTATAAAATATAAYACTGTAACTTGAATTCAGTTAATCAACCACAGAATATCCAACAGATTGCTGGAACGTCATTGCGATGTGTTTGAGTAGCAGGGAACATAAATGGAAATTAGCTTTTCGAGTAAAGCAAAACCCATTTTTGGTAAAGATGTTAAAACTGACACATGTGAGCATGATGGTGGTTACGTCCTGCACAGACTAGATGCCAAGGGGACTCACAAGACGGTCATAATTATGTTGTTAAGAGGAGCGACATCTGGAACTAGGTGGCCTTTGAGTAACACCAAATCTCCCCATCCCAGCCTTCTTTGCCCCCCAGCGACTTTGACAATCCATCCTTTTTACCCTCCAACAATCTGCCCCTTCTTCACACAGGAGCTAAGTGTGTGTGTATATGTGTGTGTGTGATGGGGTGAGGCAGAGACGGGTGGGATGAACAGGTGGCAGCCATCAGGCAGTAGACGGGGAATGTTTTGAATGGAAAACTCGCCTCCATTCCTCACGTAGTACCTGGGTGTCTGCCCTTCAACAGTGGTCCAAGAGACACAGCGAGGATGCGAGAGATGAAATGAGAACAGGTGGTGGCTTGTCGTTTAGCCGGGAAATGGAGTTCCCCCTGTAGGTCTGTGATAGCGCAGCAGCAAAAAAAGGCGGCACGGACCCCGTTCTCCACAACAGGATCCCTACAGCTCGCAGGCCTCGGCAGATCCCCGTGCCCAAAAAACAAGACCCCTTCAAAACGATGCAGCTTGACTCGGAGCAGTGCACAGCGCTGGRTAAAGTCCATTTGGCTGTTGCAAATAGAAAATTTGCGGAGGACAAAAAAGTGCAATCCTGGAAGAGAATGAACAATGTGTAATTAATGACATACCTGCCTCCAATCTGTCATTGGTCAAGGGCCAGGCTGCCATCATTTTGTACTTGATTGAATTGCAGTCACGCTCGTCACTCTTTGAACTGCCGCCGTCCCACAAGAACTGGATGCTCCCTCATCTGCGACGGTGTAATTGACAGCTCCCCCGCCCACCCACTCCACCTGCAGCCTTGGCCGGCTAAGATTTTACACTCATCTTTTCCTTTTGCCATTCTTAATAATGATATAAATGTTGCACAGCCACTTCTTTGTCGTTTTAAATCTAACAGTGTTTTAAGCTTCYAGTTCGGGGCTATTCAACTAAATTGCTGTGGGGGCCACAGTTACTGCAGACTCAGGGCACAGGGGCCAAACATACTGCAACTAAAGTCATTATGTAAATAAACCARTTATTTCTTCCTTTGAAATAGTTTATTTTTGCTGCATTTAATCAAGAATACAACACACAGAACCCTGTGTAATAAATGTAGTGATGATAAGACAGCATCAAAACAAAAATAACACATTATGCCTCCTGTTTAACACAAATTTTATTCTGAAATTTTTGACTTGCCAAAATTTCCAATTTTATTGTCATTTTCATAGTTTTAACTGTCTTGGATGTTAATAGAAATGTTTTTACCAGCTTCTAGCCAAGATTCTGACGTTTCTGTAACAAACATGTCTATGTCTAACTAAAATAACTTTTAATAATTAAAGTAGGACATTGGGGGTTTGGGCTTAAAAGATTAATTAAGCAATTGATGGGCCGAATTTTGGTCACTCGTGGGCCGGATGTGGCCTGCAGGCCGCCAGTTAAATAGCATTTTTTAGTTTATCCATTCTTTATTTAATACTGTTGACTAAACCAGTGGTTCTCAGCCTATTTTCCCCTAAGCCCCACTTTTACTTTCATGCTAAACTGCTACGCCCCACCTCACCCAAAGATGTGTTTAACCATTACCTTTTTTTTAATCAAATTAATAAAATAATTATATTTTATTTTGAAAAAGAAGAACTGAGTTATAGAGTTTTAATTATTCAATGGACTACTTTTGGGGATTTTAAAATACCAACAATAAATTGATATTTTTACTTACCAAATACCAGTATGTATAAGTTAGTACAAATACAAGACATRCACACAGAATCAGATGTATGTAATTATATATACCAGACATTTTTATGTATTGTTACTGTGGTCTCACAGGTCTTTGTGTAGACATTTATGATTTCTGACAAATAAGTCTTAAAGATTTTTGTCACTGTTATCCCGAAACGAAACACCCGAGAATTTCAAGTCTTTGAAATTCTGAATGAGCTATTTGCATGATAAGGTGTGGGAGGGGAAAAAGATGCTGCGCTGCATTTTTTTTAGACGAATAACCCTTTAAAAAATACATTTTTATCATCTGCATGCACTGTCTCTCCCCCTTTCTGAGGGAGGAGATCAGAGAAACGGGCACTATCTCTAACATTGATGTAAATCTGAACAAACAGCAGGAGCAGCCAGCTTGAAAGCGAACCTGGAGGGAAGTCTTTTAAATTTAGATCCAAACTGAAGGGAATCTGAGGAGGACTGGGMATGACTTGGTAGATAAGAAGCATTAATGCTTTTGTTTTACATATGATATGGTTTTAATCAGCGTGTAAATTGTGATGATTTACATCCCATCAAAGACCTCGAAGAAGAAGCCATTTATTAACTTAATGCAAGCTATAGCTCTACTTTTTTGGGTTTCTTCACAGGTCATATCAGATCATTTTACTGACATGGTCTCCAGTTGAGTTTGTCCTCCTGTCAGTCTGTCCATCCTTTGTCTCCTGTCCCTGCAGCCAARTATAGAATCTTTTTCATTTCTTTTTCTTCCCGTCCCATTAGATCATGCATGCATGTCTGCTTAATGTCTGCTCAGGACAAATCAAACTCGCAATTGTGTCTCCGAATCTGTTGTCTTTACTTGAGTTCAGAGACAGGTACTTAAACATACCTCCACCATCATTGCATAAAGAGGCCTAATGGAACACGGTGCAGAAAATGAAACACTAATTCATAATTTAGTCGAAACTTTTTTATTTTTATTTTTTAACAGCTGATTCTCAGTCCTGTAATACAGTGTTCCCTAAATTGTTTCCAGTTTGTAAATAATGTAAGGCAGTCTCGATGAGTAAAAGTGGCCACGGGACCATGCAATAGTAATGAAATGAGGGAGAGCGCTTGAGGAGGATTAAAAAACAAAGTTTTGTTTGAGAAGGATGGTTAAGTATTTGCAGCTGTCATTTCACAAAACGACAGGGATCCATCCGCATAAAAGAATATTTATTTATTCATCTCACAAACTGTCAAGTGCTCTAAAGAGCTGGCAGTTTGCTTAACATCAGGGAGCAAATGAAATGAAAACACTGGCTCAATACAACTCATCACTTACTAATATTTGGCACAAAGAAAATCTTGATTTATTCTAAGACCGAATTGTGCAA